TTTTAGCGACAAGACCAGAAGCGAGTGCGGATAAATCCGATAGAACACGACGCCACATGTATTAATTGTTTTAGTGTAAAGTTCCAGCAAAAATTGCACGTGCTCACTGCTCTGTCATCTTTCTCTGATCAAAATGGCCGAAGGACGCTCTGATGGACAAGCACCTGTACCTCCTCCCAAAAGGAGAAGACTCAAATTTAATGGCCCACAAAGGTTTGTCTACGCAGAAGAGAGTGCTGTCAATATGGCTTCAAAAGGCGTCGTGCCTAAAAACACGGTTCGTGTCAACTCTTGGGTAGAGAGTACTTTTAATGGTTGGGTGGCCTTTCGATCTGATACAGATGATCCTGTTCCAAGTGATATTCTCTCCAGTAACGATCCTGAAGAGATTAATAAGTGGCTATGTAAATTTGTACTGGAGGTTCGTCAACAGTCTGGTCAGCCTTACCCTCCCAAGTCTCTCCATTCTATTTTATGTGGACTCTTGCGTCTTTATCGTGAGAAAGGAGGTTCGTTCAATTTTTTGGATAAAAAAGATGCTCGATTTACTGACCTAAACAAGACACTTGACACAGTATGTAGTACACTTCATGCTGAAGGTATAGGTGCATCTACTACCCCAGCACCTATTATATCTATGGATGATGAGGAGCTTTTGTTGAATACTCAAGTTATGTCTATGGAAAATCCGACTTCCCTTCAATTTATGGTTTTCTTTTACGTTGGAATCCACTGTTGCTTAAGAGGTGGACAGGAACAGAGAGACCTGTCGTTTAAAAACTTCACTCGTTCACCGCTTGATGTTACTCAGTATAATGAAGATACCTATTACGTCTATACTGAATTCATATCAAAGAATAACCTACATAGGTACAAAGACATTCATTCTAAAAACAAAACTGTGAAGATCTATTCTGACGTGGGATCAAGAAAGTGTGTTGTCCAGTTGCTAGATTTTTATTTCTCTAAACTACCTCCTGATCCCAAGGCTTTCTATGTACGACCGTTATCTAATATTCCTGAAGGAGAAAAGCCTTGGTATGCAAATGTGCCTGTTGGTATTAATACCCTACGCAATATGTTAAAATGAATGTCAGAGAAAGCTGGTCTTTCTACAATTTACACAAATCATTCACTTAGGACTACTTCAGCATCTAGGCTTTTCTCTTCAAATGTACCAGAAAAATTGATACAAGAGAAAACTGGTCATCGTAGCTTGGCAGGACTAAGAGCTTATGAACGTACATCATCTCAACAGCTAAAAACTATGTCTAAGGTATTAAATTTTGCTGCTCCTTTTTCTGTTTCTGATGAGAATGATGAATCTGAAGAAATCAATGAAAAGGCACAAAAAAGTCATGAGGCAAAGAAGACCTTGTCTACACTTATTTCTGGAAACTTAGAGAATTGCACAATCAACTTGTACACTTCCTCGAAATAAAGGCTCCTGGACTTTGAGATCACTTAAGGGTGCTGCACCACCGCCCACGCAATTTTTTTAATCTGTTGCTAAGGGAGCTGTTTTTCCTAAAGTATTTTACCAATCATAAAGAAACCAGTACTAGTTACAAGACAGTAACTAAATTAGTTAGTAAGCTAGCTTAGAGCCTTTAGCTCATAATAAATATGGCATCAAGAGCTAAAATACTGAAGAATTTTCAAAAGCGAAAAACTCCTCTCACTTTCAGTTTGAATAACCAGAATTCTAGGTAAAGGCAGTTTTTAACTAAACAAATTGATTAACATAGAGATATTTTTCCTTTTCTACTTGTAATGCCACTTAATTTGATTTTCGTATTGCTCAACACCACATTTTCCTATATTAGCCTTTTTAATTGAAATATCTCTATGTTACTGTATGTGTAATCATGTAAAGAGGCTCTATTGTAAATTTGGTCTGATTCTGATCACCACAGTCAAAGTTTTTCG